TTCCTGCAGGAGAAAGCACGGCTGAGAGGCAAGCAGGAGTTCCGGAGTGTGTACCTCGATCGAGACAGAACACAGGACGAAAGGAAGAGAATGAAAGAGAGAGTTCAAAAACGAAAGGAGAAATGGGAGGAAATGAAAAAGGAGAGCAGAATAACCCAGGATCAAATGGAAGGACAAACGCACCCCCCAGAAACACCTGCAGAAGGACTCCAGCCACGACACCCCCAAGGCAACTGAACAATCCAAACCAACCATCACACACCGATCCCTCTGTTCCCACCCCCTGCACCACAGTTACAGTATTAGAACAGAAGTTGAAGGTTTGGTACACAAATGCAGATGGATTAACGAATAAACATGAGGAATGGCAAGAAAGAATCAATTAGAAGTCCCCAGACATCATAGCAGTTACAGAAACAAAACTCACGGAGACAATAACAGATGCCATCTTCCCACCAGGATACCAGATCATGAGGAAAGATAGAAGGGGCAAGGGGGGAGGTGGGGTTGCTCTGCTCGTAAAAAACAGATGGAAATTCGAGAAAATGGAAGGCATAGATGAGACGGGAGAAAGAGACTACATAGCAGGTACACTTCAGTCTGGGGAACACAAAGTGGTCATTGCAGTGATGTATAATCCACCACAGAACTGCAGGAGGCCAAGAGAGGAATATGAAGAGAGCAACAGAGCAATGGTGGACACACTTGCTGAGGTGGCAAGAAGAGCTCACTCCAGCAGAGCAAAGTTGCTGGTTATGGGGGATTTCAACCACAGGGAGATTGACTGGGAAAACCTGGAGCCACATGGGGGTCCCGAAACATGGAGAGCCAGGATGTTGGACGTGGTGCTGGAAAACCTCATGCACCAACATGTTAAGGACACTACCAGAGTGAGAGGGGAGGATGAACCAGCAAGATTGGACCTTGTGTTCACCCTGGGCAGCTCAGACATTGAGGACATCAAGTATGAGAGTCCCCTAGGAGCTAGAGACCACGTGGTTCTGTGCTTTGAATACATAGTAGAGCTGCAAGTGGAGAGAATAACAAGAGTTGAATGGGAAAAGCCTGACTATAAAAGAGGGGACTACATAGGGTTGAAGAACTTCCTGCGGGAGGTCCAGTGGAACAGAGAACTGGCAGGAAAGCCAGTAAATGAAATGATGGAATATGTAACAATAAAATGCAAGGAGGCAGTGGAAAGGTTTATTCCCAAGGGCAACAGTAACAATGGGAAGACCAGAACGAGCCCCTGGTTTACCCGACGGTGTAAGGAGGCAAAAACAAATGCAATAGAGAATGGAAAAAGTACAGAAGGCAGAGAACACACGAAAATAGGGAGACCAGTCGCAGAGCCAGGAATGAGTACGCACAGGTAAGGAAGGAGGCCCAACGACAGTATGAAAATGACATAGCATCGAGAATCAAGACTGACCCGAAACTGTTGTATAGCCACATCAGGAGGAAGACAACAGTCAAAGACCAGGTGATCAGATTAAGGACAGAAGGTGGAGAACTCACAAGAAATGATCAGGAGGTATGTGAGGAGCTGAACAGGAGATTTAAGGAAGTTTTTACAGTAGAGACAGGAAGAGCTGTGGGAAGACAGCACAGAAGGGAACATCAAGAGGGAATATACCAACAAGTGTTGGATGACATACGAACAACTGAGGAGGAGGTGAAGAAACTCTTAAGTGACCTTGACATCTCAAAGGCGATGGGACCGGACATCTCCCCATGGGTCCTTAGAGAAGGAGCAGAGATGCTGTGCGTGCCTCTAACCACAATCTTCAACACATCCCTTGAAACTGGGCAACTACCTGAGAAATGGAAGACAGCTAATGTAGTCCCCATATTTAAGAAAGGAAACAGAAACGAGGCACTAAACTACAGACCTGTGTCTCTGACATGTATTGTGTGCAAAGTCATGGAGAAGATTATCAGGAGGAGAGTGGTCAAACACCTGGAAAAGAACAAGATTATAAATGAAAACCAGCATGGGTTCATGGAAGGCAAATCTTGTATCACAAACCTCCTGGAGTTTTATGACAAGGTAACAGAAGTAAGACACGAGAGAGAGGGGAGGGTAGATTGCGTTTTCCTAGACTGCAGGAAGGCCTTTGACACAGTTCCCCACAAGAGATTAGTGCAGAAGCTGGAGGATCAGGCGCATGTAAAAGGGAGGGCACTGCAATGGATAAGGGAATACCTGACAGGGAGGCAACAACGAGTCATGGTACGTGAAGAGTATCACAGTGGGCGCCTGTTACGAGCGGGGTCCCACAGGGGTCAGTTCTGGGACGACATGATGGAAGGAATAGACTCTGAAGTGTCCCTGTTCGCAGATGACGTGAAGTTGATGACAAGAATTAAAATGGACGAGGATGAGGCAGGACGGCAAAGAGACCTGGACAGGCTGGACATGTGGTCCAGTAACTGGCTTCTCGAATTCAATCCAGCCAAATGCAAAGTCATGAAGATTGGGGAGGGGCAAAGAAGACCGCAGACAGAGTATAGGCTAGGTGGACAAAGACTACAGACCTCACTCAGGGAGAAAGACCTTGGGGTGACCATAACACCGAGCACATCACCGGAGGCACATATCAACCAAATAACCGCTGCAGCATACGGGCGCCTGGCAAACCTGAGAATAGCGTTCCGATACCTTAATAAGGAATCGTTCAAGACACTGTACACTGTGTATGTTAGGCCCATACTGGAGTATGCAGCACCAGTCTGGAACCCACACCTGGTCAAGCACGTCAGGAAGTTAGAGAAAGTACAAAGGTTTGCAACAAGGCTAGTCCCAGAGCTCAAGGGAATGTCGTACGAGGAAAGGTTAAGGGAAATCGGACTGACGACACTGGAGGACAGAAGGGTCAGGGGAGACATGATAACGACATACAAGATACTGCGGGGAATAGACAAGGTGGGCAGAGATAGGATGTTCCAGAGAGGGGACACAGGGACAAGGGGTCACAGCTGGAAGCTGAAGACTCAGACGAGTCACAGGGACGTTAGGAAGTATTTCTTCAGTCATAGAGTCGTCAGGAAGTGGAATAGCCTAGCAAGTGAAGTAGTGGAGGCAGGAACCATACATAGTTTTAAGAAGAGGTATGACAAAGCTCAGGAAGCAGAGAGAGAGAGAGGACCCAGTAGCGATCAGTGAAGAGGCGGGGCCAGGAGCAGAGTCTCGACCCCTGCAACCACAATTGGGTGAGTACAATTAGGTGAGTACACACACACACACACACACACACACACACACACACACACACACACACACACGCGCACACACAGGTTGTCAGAGGTCAGGTACCTGGCAGGAGGTCTCAGGATCGGCGAACATCTTGCCACTCTTAAACATCCTGGGCGTGCAGAGGAACCCGGTCACTGGTATGGTGGTCAGGACAGGGTAATCTACGCCACCCATTCCCGGTATCTTGTCTCCGTCTGGGTCGTCTTCTACAGGCTCTCCTCCGCTTCTTGAGCCGCCTGAGACACCTGCTGCCGCAACCTGAAGGAGGGAAGGAGAGAGGTAAGGCAAGGAAGGAAGGAAGGAAGGAAGGAAGGAAGGAAGGAAGGAAGAAAGGAAGGTCTGTTTTATTTACGCCACTTGATGGTTCGTGTCTTCTCCTTTGTAAAATACTTGAATAAGTTATTCATATATTTTGAAAAGGTTTGTTGTTTTAAGATACTGAATACTACGTAAATTTCCATGAGGTTAATAACCGATAATCTACACAGATTGTTTTGGTGGAAAATTATTTTCTGAAATATATATAAAAAAATACATATCCTCAGAAAATTGTTTTCCTTGGAGAAGGTGATGAATTATCAAATGATCTGATTATTTATGAAGATTCTTTGGGAGAGGATAGAAAGCTCGTAGGAGGAAATGACAGTTCGTGGGAGGAACTGACAGGTAGTGGGAGGAAAATTACAGGTCGTGGGTAGAACTGACATGTCGTGGGAGGAAGTGAATGCTTGTGGGAAGAAATGGGTGCGAAAGACCAGGTAGTACCCTTTTTATCTGCAAACACTCTACAGGTAAAGAATATTGAAGGCCTTGTACAAGAATTATGAAGCTTAATTGGATTTGGTGCTTTTGAGGATATTAAGAAAACAGGCATTTTAAATTTGTCTCAATTTTAAAAGTGTCTGAAGAGTTTTAATGAATGTGGAAACCTTGTGAGTTTAAGTTTTTTTTATTATTTTTGGATTAACTGAAAATTTACTAATAATTTTCAGCACGTGGTGCAACCATCTGGTAGAATTAGGTCCTGCCCTTGCGGGGTCAGGGCCCTGGAGACACACACACCCCTTACAGGGGCTTAGATGCAGTTAGCCAGTGTAGCCAGAGGCATCGCTGTAGTATTTACTTCTACCCAGTAATATTTGGTGTCCACTGGCCTGTACATATGAAAAATAAGCAGCAACAAGAACCAAGACTCAAACTTTGGCGATGAGATAAACAGCCAATGACTTTAACAGTTATATCACTGAGGTACGCGAGAGTTTTGATTTAAGATTAATATTTTTTAATTTGCATTAGCCTCACGTTCTTGTGTTACTCTGGCAGCTTCTGGTCATCAGAGTTAGTGTACATCCAGGTGGCGTCAGCATCTCTTCATGTACTAGTAATGTTATATATCGTCATAGTTTTAGCTGTCATAGGGTTGAATTCCATTTTTATTTCTCTTAAGGAAGTTGAGCTACTGCTCTGAGTCCTGTTAATGCTGTGCTTAGCTGAAGAAATTATGTTCCAGTTTAAGGAACTGACATATTGACGTCCAAACCTTAACTGTTGATATCCAGTGGAGTTCCTTCAGTTTATGACTTCTAAAATGTCAAATCCAAAATAAAAATAATGAGCATTTTGAAAATGTTTTATCCAGTCTATGTCAAATTTCAAATGTGTTTGAGAGGATTGGGTTCCCACTCCTGCACCTGTTGAGTTAAAGCTCTTGGATCATTTAGAAGATATCTTTACAGTACCTCTTCCAGAGCATCTCAAATTATAGTGGTGTTTGATATGGTTGAGCTCCAGTAACTGGACCTTTTCATAGCGTCGAGTTAGAGATCCTTGACCTCCTGAGGATCTTCCTGGACTGATCTCAGTGTTAGCAGTGTCTAACAGTTGAGCGTCAGCTGATGCAGCTCTTGAGTGTGTTGAGCAGCAGCTGTTAGACTTCTTTAGGGAATGTTATTGTACTGCATTTAAGGAAGACGGGAGAGGATTCTTTCGAATTAGACAGCAACCCATTCACAACAAGTAATTATTATTATTATTATTATTATTATTATTTCGAGGAATATTGTAACTATTCTCATCATATTTACTTTTAGTCTCTCATAATAATAACACCATTTTTTCACAGTCATCATCACCACAATCATCTGCACCATCACCACAATCATCTGCACCATCACCACAATCATCTGCACCATCACCAGTACAATAATAACTATGCATATAGCTCTTTATATGCATTTTCTATTATAGTATATGTGAAATAGTGTACATGCTTAAGAAAAACTTTTTTAGTGCTTTATATATATATATATATATATATATATATATATATGTCGTGCCGAATATGTAAAACTGGTCAATTAGCAAGGACTCATTTAAAATTAAGTCCTTTCTGAAATTTTCTCTTATACGTTTAAAGATATATTTTTTTCATTATTGTTAATGTAAAAAATTTTAATTTTGCACCAAAAGAATCTTAGAAAACTTACCTAACCTTATTATAACAAGAGCAATTTATTTTAGCCTAGCCCAACTAAATATATTTTAAATACGTTTACAATAATTTAATACTAAACAAACGCAATCAAATATATTTTTTTCGTTAGGTTCAGAATGATTTTGGCGAAATTATTGCATACACAAATTTTCACTTGTCCTATTTGGCAAGATGAGCGTTGCTATTTAAGCCAAGATCGCAAGTTCTGCCTATTCGGCACGACAATTAATATATATATATATATATATATATATATATATATATATATATATATATATATATATATATATATATATATATATATATATATATATATAAATATATATATATATATATATATATATATGTGTGTGTGTGTGTGTGTGTGTGTGTGTGTGTGTGTGTGTGTGTAAGAGATCATGCATGTATAGTAAGTCTTTAAAACAAGCAATTAAGCAATAATATAATAACGATGTTAGTTAGTATAATAATAAGCTAATATATACAAAGTGTTAAGCTGCAGAGGCTAAAACATTCATATTAGAGCAAGTATAATCTTATGTCTATAATTAGTTAAATTATACAAAAAAATAAAAACTTTTACTGGGAAAGATTATAAATATTTACAAATACAACGAAGAGAAGCGAGGAGGATCACATTTCAATGATCATTTTACATGAGAGGAATACCTCTGGGTATCCTCTCACAGTGCAGGTATCCAAAGGCTCTCCTTTGGATACCTTCGTGAGGAATATCCAAGCGGATGCCTCCCCTGTGAGGGGGATACCCTGGGGTATTCCTCCAGTTATGGACTGGGGATGACGCCGGTCATACGCCATCATTGTTGACGGATGTGACGTCATGCATCAGCTGATCAAGGAAAACGATTCCCGAAAATACTGGAGAATGTTCGTGGACTCACACTCTCGTCTCCCCCGGCGATGGTAGTCAGAAGTGGCGGTCTGCGTGTCCGAGCTTTGCGGACCTTGTTGGGGATTGGGGTGGGGGATGAAGGAGAGGAGACGGGAGGGGTTGGGGAGGTGTTGGGTAGAGGCTTGGAGGTGGTACGAATCTTCTTTCTGCGTCGAATTACCAACGTTTTGGGAGTGGTGGGGATTTTGGAGACGAGACTCTTGGGGATTGGTACTTGTGAGCGAGTGTTGGGGGATTTGGAGGGTGAGGGAGTGTTGAAGCTCAGAGTTGTTGGAGCACTGATTGGAAACTGGGTTGGTGAGGGAGTGTTGGGGAAGAGGGTTGTCAGGGTACTGTCGGGAAACTGGGACAGTGTCGGAGTGTTGGGGAACTGAGTTAACGGGGGACTGTTGGCGAAATTGAAAAATGGGAGAATGGTGGAGAACTGAGTTGGTGAGGGAGTGTTGGTGAAGTGGAGGGGTAAAAGACTGCTGGTGAACCGACTCCTCGAGGGAGTGTTAGTGAACTGGGAAAGTGGAAAAATGTTAGGGATTTGCGTTAGTGGATAAGTGTTGGAGAACTGACTTGGTGAGAATGTGCTGGAGAACTGACTTTGTGGTAGAGTGTTGTCAAATTGACTTTGTGGGAGAGTGCTAGAGACTTGACCTGGTGGGAGAGTGCTGGAGAACTGACTCTGTGGGAGAGTGCTGGAGAACTGACTTTCTGGGGGAGTGGTGGAGAACTGACTCTGTGAAAGAGTTCTGGAGAACTGACTCTGTGGGAGAGTGTTGGAGAACTGACTCTGTGGGAGAGTGTTGGAGAACTGGGAAAATAAGGGAGTGTTGAAGCCAGATGGGAAAGTGTTGCCAACCTGTGATGACGGAACACTTTTGTCAACATGAGAGTGTCTCTCAGTGCTGGAGATCCGGGTGAGAGGGAACCTGTTTGAGAATTGATTAACTGGAACACTGTTGCTGAACTGGGGCGTAAATACGTTCTTGAACTGATTTTGTGGTTGAGAATTCTTGAACTGGTTTTGTCGGTGAAAAGTTTCGAACTGACTTTGTCGTGGGGAATTTTCGAACTGGTTTACTGGAGGTGAGTTCTCGAACCTGTTTTGTGGATGAGAGTTGGTGTTGGTGAATTGGGACGGTGAAAAAGTGCTGGGGAATTGGACAGGTGATACAGTGTTGGGTAACCTGTTGGATGGGGGAGAACTTTCGAGCTGGTTTGATGGAGAGGTTTCGGTGAACTGATTTTGTGGAGGTGAGTTGGTGAACAAATTTGGGACAGGAGGGTTTGAGAAGTGATCTTGTGGTTGATTGTTGAGAAACTGGGAAGCAGGAGTGTTGATGAAGTTGGAAATGGGAGGTGAAGGACTGGTAATAGGGAAATTAGGAGGAATGTTGGAGGGCGAGGCGGAAGACCGACTGTTGGAGATAAGAAGAGGAAAGTTGTCAGGGAGTGCTGGGGAAATGTTGGAGGAATGCGGTGGAGAAAACGTACTGGAAAAGGGGATATTTGAGGGATTGTTGGAGAAAGTATTTGAGGGGAAATCAGGAGGACGACTCCCTCTCCTGCTGGAAGTGAAGAGTGGAGGACTGGTGGAGACAGGAGTGGCGAGAGCATTGGGAGTGAGAGTATTTGGAACACTGTTGGAGAAAGGATGAACATTATTGTTATCAGAGGACACAAAAGGATTGTTGAAGGAGGAGAAAGATGAGTCATTTATGAAAGGAGGAAGATCAGTGGTAGGACTGGCAGCGACTGACAAAGACATGTGATTATTCGGGTCTGTAACAAATCTAGGATTATCATGGAAGAAGGTCGGAGCAAGACCAGGAACCCTAGGAGGCAGGAGGGTACTGGAGGGTGTACTGGGAGGTACAAGACTGTGAGAGGGGGTGGTGGGGGGTAGTGGTGGTTGAGGATTGGTGGGGACTGCGGACGGAGTCAGTCTCCTGGGGACTGGGGTTGGGGTAAGTCTCCCAGGAACTGGGGTGCGAATAGAATCAAGGAAAACTGGGTGATTCCTATCAGGAGGCGGAGGGACGAAGAAGTGAATGTTTCCACCTGCGTTGAAAGGCTTGTCTGGAACCTGGAAGTGCAAGGACGGTACTGTAATGGACTGGCCAGCCTGCTGGGGTCTTGAGGCTTGGACCTCCGAGGAGGTCGGGGGCGGGGAGATGCTGACAGAACCTTGACCTCCGAGGGGTGTAGGTTGAAGTAGGGGGGGAGGCGGGGTCAAGTTTGGGCTGAGGAACAGTCCGCCCTCACTATTTAAAGTGAAGGAGGTGCTGCTTGTGGAAGACTGATCATGAACGAAGCTGCCTGAACCATCCTGGGGATGTGCAGCTCCAATTTTGATGGATGTAGTGTGGGAGATGGGAGAGGATGTAGTGTGGGAGGTGGGAGAGGAAAAGGGGATGATATTGTGAGACGTGGTCGAGAAGCTCTGAGATGTAGGAGAGGAACCCTGAGACATGGGAGAAGAACCATGAAACATGGAAGAGGAGCCCTGAGACGTGAAAGAGGAGCCCTGAGACACAGGAGGGGAGCCATGAGACGTGAAAGAGGAGCCCTGGGACACAGGAGAGGAACCCTGAGAGGTGAAAGAGGAACCCTGAGACGTGAAAGAGGAGCCATGAGACACAGGAGAGGAGCCCTGAGACACAGGAGAGGAGCCCTGAGACGTGAAAGAGGAGCCCTGAGACACAGAAGAGGAGCCCTGAGACGTGGAAGAGGAGCCCTGAGATGTGAAAGAGGAGTCCTGAGACGTGGAAGAACCCTGAGACGTGGGAGAGATGGTAGTATGAGAGGGAGAAAAGACAGTGAGGGAGTTAGGAGAGGAAGAAGTGTGAAAGACAGGGGAAGAAGATGCCTGAGAAGAGGAAGAGGAGGTAATGTGAGAGACGGAAGAGGAGTGAGAAATGGGAGAGAATGCATTGTGAGAAACTGGAGATGAGGTCGTGCCGAATGTGGTCGAGGAGGTAGTCTGGGAAATGGGAGAGGAGGTCGAGTGGGAGATGGGAGGGGAGGTCGAGTGGGAGATGGGAGAGGAGGTCGAGTGGGAGATGGGAGAGGAGGTCGAGTGGGAGATGGGAGAGGAGGTCGAGTGGGAGATGGGAGAGGAGGTCGAGTGGGAGATGGGAGAGGCAGGTCGAGTGGGAGATGGGGGAAGAGGAGGTCGAGTGGGAGATGGGAGAGGAGGTGAGTCGAGTGGGAAATGGGGGAGGAGGTCGAGTGAGAGATGGGAGAGGAGGTCGGATGGGGAGATGGGAGGAGAGGAGTCGAGTGGGAAATGGGGGAGGAGGTCGAATGGGAGATGGGTGAGAGGAGGTCGAGTGGGAGATGGGAGAGGAGGTCGAGTGGGAGATGGGAGAGGAGGTCGAGTGTGAAATGGGGGATGAGGTCAAGTGGGAGATAGGAGAGGAGGTCGAGTGGGAGATGGGAGTGGAGGTCGAGTGGGAGATGAGAGAGGAGGTCGAATGAGAGATAGGAGAGGAGGTCGATGGAGAGATGGGAGAGGAGTTCGAGTGAGAGATGGGAGAGGAGGTCGAGTGGGAGATGGGAGAGGAGGTCGAGTGGGAGATGGGAGAGGAGGCCGAGTGGGAAATGGGGGAGGAGGAGTCGAGTGGGAGATGGGAGAGGAGGTCGAGTGTGAGATGGGAGAGGAGGTCGAGTGGGAGATGAGAGAGGAGGTCGAATGAGAGATAGGAGAGGAGGTCGAGTGAGAGATAGGAGAGGAGTTCGAGTGAGAGATGGGAGAGGAGGTCGAGTGAAAGGTAGGAGAAGATGTCGAGTGGAAGATGGGAGATGAAGAAGAAGTCGAGTCTGAAATGGGAGAGAAGGTCGAGTGGGAAGCAGAGGAGGTTGAGTCCGAGATGGGAGAGAAGGTCGAGTGGGAAGGGGAGGAGGTCGAGTGAGAAATGGGAGAGGAGGTCGAGTGAGATGTGTCAGAAGAGGTTATATGGGAGGTTAGAGAGGAGGTCGAGTGAGAGATAGGAGAGGAGGTCGGCCGAGAGATGGGAGAGGAGGTCGAGTGAGAGGTAGGAGAGGAGATCAAGTGAGAGGTGGGAGAGGAGGTAGAGTGAGCGATAGGAGAGGAGGTCGACTGAGAGATGGAAGAGGAGGTCGACTGAGAGATGGGAGAGGAGGTCGAGTGAGAGATGGGAGAGGAGGTCGAGTGAGAGGTGGGAGAGGAGTCCGAGTGAGAGGTAGGAGAGGAGGTTATATTGGGGGTGGGAGAGGAGGTCGAATGAGATGTGGGAGAAGAGGTAGAGTGGGAAGTGGGAAATGAGGTCGAATGAGAGGTGGGAGAAGAGGTTATGTGAGAGATGGGAGAGGATGAGATAGAGGATGAGGCAGATGAGTCAGAGATGGGAGAGGAGGAAGTGTGAGAGATGAGAGAGAAGAACTGGTGTGGGGGCGGAGAGGAAGAAGTGGGTAGGGTGGGGAAGGTGGGAGAGGTTTTATGGAAGATAGAGGAGGAGGAAGTCGGAGAGGTGGAAGAGAAGGAAGTATCCTGGGTATGAGAGGAGGTATTTTGGGACATGGGAGAGGAGGTTATGTGGGAATCAGGAGCGAAGGAAGAATGGGAGGTGGGAGGGGAGGAAAAAGTGTTGGAGGCCGAGGAAGAAAAGGTAGTAGAAATGGGGATGTTGGCAGACAAAATGGTTGTCTGGTGTGTGTGGATAGGGTTGGGCGGCTGGGGTGTAGAAGTAGATGACTGAGGTGTGCTGTCAGTGAGAGATGTAGTGAAGACACTGCTGGGTAGCTGGGGTGTAGAAGTAGATGACTGAAGTGTGCTGTCAGTGAGAGATGTGCTGGTAGTATTCTGTGGCTGTGCTGTGGTCACTGCAGAAGCATTTCCGAACGATGAAACGCCAAAGAATCTTTGAGCAGATTTTTGAAAGCGGTCTGCTTGTAGATCTCCTTGAGTCGTCGAGCGGGATAAGCCGTTGTCACTTGTCGTCGTCACCTTCGTCACTAGAGTCGATGGAAATCGTGGTCTGAAACGAGTCGAAGTTCGATTTCGATGAAAATTTGCACCAACAAAATTGGGAGGGGGCGTTTGTCTTGTAGACGATTTTTTGGTATTGTTTCGTGTAGTGGGCATAGCTGGTGAGTTTGTGGTCAGAGGTCTCAGGAACACTGAGGTTCTTGCATTACCAGAAGAACGGCTATCGTCCTCAGGGGCAAGCAGTATCGTAGAAGGGACTACGATGTTGTGGTGTGTCGCGGGAGGTGTAGTCGTCTCTGTAAATGGCGAAGCAGTAATGCTAGTGTGAGGAGTATCTACTTGTTTGGTTGTGGATGCAGGTCTCTCGCGACGGTGGTGAGACGCCGAGAGTGACGGAGGTGAGAGTGGGGTACGGGGAATAAAAATGTGTCTTTGAGAGTGAGGTATTTTCGGTACTGAGTTTCCAATGAGAAATCTGCTTGTTTGCATCTTAAAAGAAGGTTTGGAAGGCATTGTTAACATTAGGTTATTTTCGGGGAAAGAAGCAGTTATGGTAGGTGGTGGGTTAGTTATTCCATCCCCATTGTTAAGCTTGTTATTAAGAGCATGTGAAGTATTAATGGTAAACACACGGTTGGAAGGAACCTGAGGCGACGTAAAGGAATGGGTAGAGGGGTCTTTGCTGGCCACGCCGCCAGGAAAGTCATTCTTAGTGCCACCAACTGAACCGGAGATGACGGTGTCAGCCGGGCCAATCAGAAAGCTGGCGGCTTTGTTGACGAAGTGACCCACGCCACCTCCCGACCCCGAACGATGTGATGTTGCAGTCGGTCGGCGTCGGGCAGGGTGCTGCCGAGCCCCAGGAAGGTGCTGCCGAGCCCCAGGAAGGTGCTGCTGGGCCCCAGGAGGGTGTTGCTGGGCCCCAGTAAGGTGTTGCTGGGCCCCAGGGAGGTGTTGCTGGACTACACTGAGATGGTGTTGAGCTCCGGAGGTTCTCTGTTTCTCTTGGCGGCTGTTCTGCTCGCCTCCATTGCTGTTTTGTTCTCCTCTACTGATGCTCTGCTCTCTTCTGCTGCTGCGCTGTTCTCCCCTGCTGTTGCTCTGTTTCCTCCTGGTGTTTCTGTGATCTTCCTTACGGTTACTCTGTTGCCCTCTTCGATGACTCTGCTGTCCATCTTGAATGATTTGTTGTTCACCTTGAATGGTCTGCCGTCCACGATGACCATCCTGGAAGTTTTGCTGACCATTCAGAAAATTCTGATTTTCCTGGAAATTTTGTCGACCGTGAAGTTGTTCATTCTGGGAGCTCTGTTGATCATTCTGGAAGCTCTGTTGAGCATTCTGGAAGCCCTGTTGACTATTATGGAAGTCCCGTTGACCATTCTGGAAACTTTGCTGACCATTCTGGGAGCTCTGTTGACCATTCTGGGTGCTCTGTTGATCATCTTGGGAGCTCTGTTGACTATTCTGGGAAATCTGTTGACCATTATGGAAGCCCTGGTTGCCCTGATTCATTTGCAGCACTTGGGAATTCTGCTCTCTATGGCTGAGTGTCTGTTGGCCTTTCTGGAAAGTATGTTCACCGCTGACGATCTGGATATTGTGCTGCAATCTTTGTTGTCCTTGCTGGAATGTCGTCTGGCCGTCTTTGAGGCTTTTCTGCACCATCTGGAGGTTTTGGCCCTCATCCAGCAAAGAACGTTGCTGCCCAGTGAAATTTTTCAAGTTTTGATTGTCTTGTCGGGGGTCCTTCTTTTCATTAGGAAGAATCTGGTGTCCTTGAGTGATATGCTGCCCTTGTTGCTGGTTTCGTTGTCTCTGGCGATTCTGACGTCCTCTCTGTAAGCTATGTCCTTGCTGGAGAATCGGAAGATTTCCACGTTGGAAGTTACGTCCTTGCTGGAGGCTCTGATGAAATTTTTGCTGGAGATTTTGATGTCCTTGTAGGCTCTGATGCTTTCTTTGCTCGAGATTATGGTGCTCTTGCTGGGGAGCTTGACGTCCTGGTGGAAGGCTCTGAAGTCCTCCTAGCTGGATGTTTATATGTTCACCATTTTGTAGTTTCTTTTGTGCCTCCTGGGAGTTCTGCTGTCCCTGCTGGAACCTATCTTGCCCCGGTGTACTCAGATGCTTTGTTATGTGGACATTGTTTTGTGTTCTGTGAAGATCAGGATGTGTTATTTGGTGTTTTGGCAGTGTTTCTTGGAGGTTAGGCTGTGTTACTCGAACGTTTTGCTGTGTTACAGGAATACTGTGAGGTGTTTCTTGAAAGATTTGTTGTGTTTGTTGTAGATTTTGTTGTGTTTCCTTGGGGTTTTGAGGGTTCACGTGGAAGCTGTGCTGTCTTACCTGTAGGCCTTCTTGAGGCTGTTTCAAGCTCTGCTGCTGCTGTGATGGGGTTTCCTGTTGCTGTTGTTGCTCCTGCACTGATTGCGTAGAGAGTACATCTCTGGATATGATGCCTTCCTCTGACGTGATAGTCACGCCCTTAGTTATCATGTGCTTCAGGGGAGGTGGTGGAACTAGCGAGTCCCTGCTGAGAACTCTTCCTTCTGAAGCAACTTGCTGCAGCTCCTTCGATACTGGAGCAGCAGTGATGACATCGCTTAAGCCGAAATCTTGACTAACGGCATCTTTGTTGGACGCGAGCATTGATTTCTGCTGCAACGATGCTTCTTTATTGTCACTTAGGTTAGCAATTGGTGGAAGCTTACTGAGAATGCTTGAAATGGGAATGGAGCTCCCCGAGAAAATCGTTGAATTCCCTACAGGTAGTAGGAGTATAATCTTGGGTGATACGATACTAGGGAGCGTTGTGGTGAGCGGATTTTCAGATGTGGGTGGCGGCAGAGTTGTCGTATCTGGCTGGTGTCCCGAACATAAATGGCAAGGAGGGTCTTCTTCTGAGAAAAAAGCTTCGCTATGATCGGTTATCACAGATGATATTTCAGGCCTGCCTCTTGAACTCAGCTGGGGTTTCCTGTTGTCCACAGGTGGGCGTTGTAGGGAGAAACTTTCTTGATTCATGAAGATGTCTGTGGGCCTCGCTGTAGTAAAGGGTGGTTGAGATTGTCGTAATGTTACAGAAGAGTTTTCTGATTTTATTTCAGGTCTGAAAATGAACGTTGGAGATGGCAATGAACTTAAGTCAAGCTCAGGTTTGGGTGAAAGTGTCGTTTCAGTTTGCAGTTCAGTAGAAATCGTAGGGGAAAAAATAGGAGAGATCGTTGTTGCTGATGTCTGGAAACTGCCAGCCTCAACAGTTGGGAATGTCCTTGGCGGATCCAGAGATTCCAGTTCCAGCAGAGGGGTGACTGGAGGAATTGTTGTCTCGGAGTCGATGAAAGTAGAAGGTCTACTTCTCGATTTGGAAGTGGGAAAGTGATGGAAAAGTCTCACCTCCTGATGTGGCAGCCTGGGGAGATGTCCTGATTGTCGGGTAGTTGGGAACGCTTTAGGAGCCGAGATGGTAGGAAATTCTGCTTTCTGTTTACCCATGAAATTAAAAGGTGGAACATGAGCTGAAGTCATGTCTTCAGCTGATGGTATGGTCGTCTTACCTGACTGAAAAGTTAAGGTGCTGTCAATCAAGCTTTTGGTAGTTTCATCAAGATCTGGAAAAAATGATGTTTCTTCAAAGTCTGGTGAAGAAGTACTCTCAACGTCGCTTGAAGTTGTGACTGGCCTAAAATTATCATCAACTAATTGTGTTGTTAATTCTGGAATATCAGTGGTCGTTGTTGAGGATGTGGGGGTAGTTATTCTTTCATCGAAATTAAGTCTGCTTCGATTAACTTTCTGTTTACTTAGAAGAGATGTCAAGGTAGTGATTTCATCTTCATCCATAAAATCAGCTGTTGTGACTTCAATGTCTTGTTGTTGTTCTTGCTGTTGCTGCTGCTGTTGTTTTAGGAAAAACTTTGTGATTCTCCTTTTGTTAGTATCGTCAGCATTATGCGACTGGGTGTTGAGTGTGGTTCTTTCTCTTGCATTTGAGTCTGTTAAGTGCAATGGATGTCTGATCACGTCACCTTGTCCTGTTTTTACTTCCTTGATCAATGTTGGGCGAGGTGTAGGAGAGAGAGGGACGTGGAGTCGCCGAGGAGATTCTTGTGGAGACTGATTATTAGAAAATCTCGTGGGAGGTCGAGTACGTCTTGTAAGAAAAGTTGGAGAAACTTGTGAGCGATTGTTTTGAGGGATGATAAACCTTGGAGGGAGACTTATGAACCTATTGACAGGATTAGAACCCTGGGAGAAAGCTTCTTCGTGTTGCTCGGTGAATGGCAGTCCATCGCCATGTGCGAAATGCTCATTAAAAGCCACGCTGAAAGGTCTGGGTGAAGGAACAGGTCTCAAAAAAGAAGATGGTCGGGTTCCACTCAATATTTGTGATTTTGTGATGTCTGGAGTGACTGGACTTACTGCTGGTTCTGGTTGAGTCACTTCAGATATTTTTGTTTCCACTTCCCCTGGAGCTCTGTGTTGAGGTTTTACTCCGCGTGTAAAATTATTAAATCCACTTGGTGTTGCAGAAAAAAGCTCAGTACTCGTTTCTGGTATATCAGTAGTAAAGCTTTGCCCTGTGGTTGTCTGAGTAGCTCCTTCTGTCACTGCTGTAGCATTGTTTTTCCTTGCAGCCAGTGCCCTCAGTTTCTGTCTATTCAGTGCCAAGAATTTCAATAAAGCTTTATTGGAAGTCTTTGTTTCTGAGTTATCGCCATTGGTTGAGGTTGTCGAGGGTTTTTCAGCTTGTGTGGTAGCCTGAGTAGTGGTACTTGTATTGTCTGAAGGACGCTGCTTAATGGTGTCCTGTGAAATAAACGCTCTACGAAAGGTTGTTGGAACTACAGTTGTAGTAGTTGTCGCTGTTGGCGCAAGTGGCATAGTTGTTGTTGTAGGAGTTTGAGTAGTCTTTTCTTTTGAATTTCGTAGACTGATAAGTTCACTGAGGCTCAGTCTGTCGTTGGATATCGCTGTTGTAGGATTTTCTGATGTGCTTCTTAACTTTTCAAGAGGAACCACGCTACTTCTCCGCGGAGAGAGGTTTGGTCTGGACGTTGGTCCCCCAAGACCTCTTTCACGATCTCGCATGAGCCGCTGTAGATGTAGTTTCTCTCTCGCTGCAGCTCTGGAGACACTTGCCGAAAATTCCGAAGAGGTGCTGTTGACAATGTCATGGGATACATTTCGCATTAAATTTGGAAGAGCAATATTAATATCCGAATCATCTTTGGTTTGGTCTTGTGACCCATTGGAAAGATTATGTTGGAAAATGGACAGCTGTCTGGGAGCTGGCGATAACAACTGTTCTCTAGCAGTACTGATGACAGCATTGTCTGAGGAAACATCTTCGTTATTACTGACACCTGGCGTGGCAGGTGACTGTGGAATATTACTAATAGTCTCCAATATAACCTCATCAGTTACTGACTGTTCTCTCTTTTCTGAAGCAGTACTGTCGGCCATACTGGAGGTCTCTTTAACATGAGCAACGTTGTGCAGCCTCGACGAGGGCTCAGACACAGTGAGGGACGCCACATCCATGTTAACCACAGTTGGTACAAGATCTTCCTCTGCAGCTGCCATGTCTACCACATTAGTAGTGGACTCGGCCACCATCTCTTCTCGACCATCCAAGACTGAAGGCATCTGAAGACTGGTGGTGAAGATGACCTGTTCAGTGGCTGCTGGCTCCAGATCATCGTAGAAGAAATCCTGTGATGGCTCAGGCTTCTCAAGTTCATTCTCCAGAGGCTCTGCTTGCTCTGTTGTCGTGGTCAAGCTGATGCCAAGAACGTGGTTTAAGGTTGCAAATTCAGGGCGCGTTGATGTTATATCAAAGCTACGCAACAACATTTCAAAATTATCCATGGAGTCAATAACATCAACCTCGTTTTCATCCCCTGATGCACCCGCAGGCAGTGTACGTGCTTCTGTGGCATTAAGTGAGTTAGGGGTCTCAAAGTAATCCGAAATAAGCAAAGTGACATCTTGGTTTTGAGTCACAGGAGTTGTGGTTGACTCAGGAGTTGTGGTTGGTGCTGGTGTTGTGGTAGTTTCCGGTGCTGTGTTTGCTGCTGGTGCTGTGTTTGCTGTTGGTGTTGTGGTTGCTGCTGTTGTGGTTGTTGCTGGTATTGTGGTTGTTGCTGGTGTTGTGGTTGTTGCTGGTGTTGTGGTTGTTGCTGGTGTTGTGGTTGTTGCTGGTGTTGTGGCTGTTGCTGTTGTTGTGGTGGTTGCTGGTGTTGTGGTTGTTGCTGGTGTTGTGGCTGTTGCTGGTGTTGTGGTTGTTGCTGGTGTTGTGGTTGTTGCTGGAGTTGTGGTTGTTGCTGGAGTTGTGGTTGTTATTGGTGTTTTGGTTGTTGCTGGTGTTGTGGTTGTTGCTGGAGTTGTGGTTGTTACTGGTGTTGTGGTTGACGTGTCATGGACCACCTCGGCAGTGTCAATTACCTTCACCGGAGATACCAGAGGGTTACTTGAGAAAGGAAACACTGGAGACTCTAGGGTAGGTTCATCAATCGTCCTGCTGGGCCAGACAGGGATCCTGAAATGCAAAGGTACTTCCGATGTCGTTACTGGTGTTGTTGGTGGAAATTGGGAAGCGGATTCAACCCAAGACGTTAATGTGACTTCGCGGCCACGGGTATCAGAGCTGAAGGTTAAATCATCATCAATGTGGCCTCGCACATCAGAGTTGAGAGGTGAACCATCATCAGTGTGGCCACGCACATCAGAGTTGAGAGGTGAACCATCATCAGTGTGGTCACGCACATCAGAGCTGAAAGATGAACCATCATCAGTGTGGCCACGTACATCAGAGCTGAGAGGTGAACCATGATCAGTGTGGCCGCGCACAACAGAGCCAAGAGATAAACCAACATCTGTGTGGCCACGCACATCAGGGCTGAGAGACGAGCCATCATCAGTGTGGCTACGCACATCAGAGGCGAGAGATGAACCATCATCAGTGTGGCCACGCACATCGGAGCCGAGAGCTGAACTATCATCAGTGTGGCCACGCACATCAGAGCTGAACGTTGAACCATCATCAGTGTGGCCACGCACATCAGAGGCGAGAGATGAACCATCATCAGTGTGGCCACGCACATCGGAGCCGAGAGCTGAACTATCATCAGTGTGGCCACGCACATCAGAGCTGAACGTTGAACCATCATCAGTGTGGCCACGCACGTCAGAGCTCAACATTGAACCATCATCAGTGTGGCCACGCACATCGGAGCCGAGAGCTGAACTATCATCAGTGTGGCCACGCACATCAGAGCTGAACGTTGAACCATCATCAGTGTGGCCGCGCACATCAGAGCTGAAGGTTGAACCAGCATCATTGTGGCCACGCACATCAGAGCTGAAGGTTGAACCAGCATCCGTGTGGCCGCGCACATCAGAGCTGAAGCTTGAACCAGCATCCGTGTGGCCACGCACATCAGAGCTGAAGGATGAACCAGCATCCATGTGGCCACGCACATCAGAGCTGAAGCTTGAACCAGCATCCGTGTGGCCACGCACATCAGAGCTGAAGATTGAACCAGCATCAGTGTGGCCACGTACATCAGAGCTGAAGGTTGAACCAGCATCAGTGTGGCCACGCACATCAGAGCTGAAGCTTGAACCAGCATCAGTGTGGCCACGTACATCAAAGCTGAAGGTTGAACCAGCATCAGTGTGGCTACGCACATCAGAACTGAAGATTGAACCAGCATCAGTGTGGCTACGCACATCAGAGTTGAGAGAAGAACCATCATCAGTGTGGCCACGCACATCAGAGCTGAAAGATGAACCAGCATCAGTGCGGCCACGTACATCGGAGCTGAAAAAGGAGCCATCATCAGTGTGGCCACGCACATTAGAGCCGAGAGATGAACCATCAACAGTGTGGCCACGCACATCAGAGCCAAGAGATGAACCATCATCAGTGTGGCCACGCACATCGGAGCCGAGAGCTGAACTATCATCAGTGTGGCCACGCACATCAGAGCTGAAGATTAAACCATCATCAGTGTGGCCGCGCACATCAGAGCTGAACGTTGAACCATCATCAGTGTGGCCACGCACGTCAGAGCTGAACGTTGAACCATCATCAGTGTGGCCACGCACATCGGAGCCGAGAGCTGAACTATCATCAGTGTGGCCACGCACATCAGAGCTGAACGTTGAACCAGCATCATTGTGGCCACGCACATCAGAGCTGAAGGTTGAACCAGCATCCGTGTGGCCGCGCACATCAGAGCTGAAGCTTGAACCAGCATCCGTGTGGCCACGCACATCAGAGCTGAAGCTTGAACCAGCATCCGTGTGGCCACCTACATCAGAGCTGAAGGTTGAACCAGCATCCGTGTGGCCACGTACATCAAAGCTGAAGGTTGAACCAGCATCCGTGTGGCCACGCACATCAGAGATGAAGATTGAACCAGCATCACTTTTTCCATGTACATCAGAGCTTAAGGTTGAACCAGCATCAGTGTGGCTACGCACATCAGAGTTGAGAGATGAACCATCATCAGTGTGGGCAGGCACATCAGAGCTAAAGGTTGAGCCAGAATCAATGAGGCCACGCACATCAGAGCTGAAAGATGAACCAGCATCAGTGTGGTCACGCACGTCAGAGATGAAGGTTGAACCAGCATCAGTGTGGCCACGTACAACAGAGCTGGGAAGCGAGCCAGCATCAGTGTGGCCACGCACATCAGAGCTGAGAGATGAACCAGCATCAGTGTGGCCATGCACGCCAGAGCTGATGGTTGAACCAGCATCAGTGTGGCCACGTACATCAGAGCTGAGAAGTGAACCAGCATCAGTGTGGCCACGCATGTCAAAGTTGAAAGTTGAACCAGCATCAGCGTGGCCACGCACAACAGAGCTGAGAGATGAACCATCATCAGTGTGGCTACGCACAACAGAGCTGAGAGATGAACCATCATCAGTGTGGCTACGCACATCAAAGCTGAGAGGTGAACCATCATCAGTGTGGCCACGCACATCAGAGCTGAGAGATGAACCATCATCAGTGGTGGCATAGGGAACCATCAGACGCTGAGAGAGATGAACCATCATCAGTGTGGCTAGGCACATCAGAGCTGAGAGATGAACCATCATCAGTGTGGTTACGCATATCAGAGCTGAGAGATGAACCATCATCAGTGTGGCTAGGCACATCAGAGCTGAGAGATAAACCAGCATCAGTGGGTGCCTACGCACAATCAGAGCTGAGAGATGAACCATCATCAGTGTGGCTAGGCACATCAGAGCTGAGAGATAAACCAGCATCAGTGTGGCCACGCACATCAGAGCTGAGAGATGAACCAGCATCAGTGTGGCCACGCACATCAGAGCTGAGAGATGAACCATCATCAGTGTGGCTACGCACATCAGAGCTGAGAGATGAACCATCATCAGTGTGGCTACGCACATCAGAGCTGAGAGATGAACCATCATCAGTGTGGCTACGCACATCAGAGCTGAGTGATGAACCAGCATCAGTGTGGCCACGCACATCAGAGCTGAGAGATGAACCAGCATCAGTGTGGCCATGCACATCAGAGCTGAGAGATGAACCAGCATCAGTGTGGCCACGCACATCAGAGCTGAGAGATGAACCAGCATCAGTGTGGCCACGCACATCAGAACTGAGAGATGAACCAGCATCAGTGTGGCCACGCACATCAGAGCTGAGAGATGAACCAGCATCAGTGTGGCCACGCACATCAGAGCTGAAGGTTGAACCATCATTGAACATTTTCCTCTTTTCATTGTTTTCGTTGGCTAGAACTTCAGATGATGTTCTCGACTGTGATAGTACATGTTCTCCTGGAGTTATTATAGCTTGTTCTTCTCTCACAGTTATTTCTTGTTCTTTAGGAGTGATTTTCAACTGTTTTTCCTTTGTGATTATTCCTCGTTCGTCTGGCATGCTTATTTCTTTCTCCTTTGGAGTTACTGGTTCTTGTTCTGCTGGAGAAGTTATTGAAGGTTCTTCTTGAGTGGTTATTACCAATTTTTCAGAAGTTTTTATTGGTTCTTCTGGAGTGATTTTTATTATTTGTTTCGGAGTGGTTTCTATTGGTTCTTCCGGAGTCGTTTTTATTATATCTTCTGGAGTGGTTTTTATTGGTTCTTCCAGAGTGGTTTTTATTGGTTCTCCTGGAGGGGTTTCTATTGGTTCTTCCGGAGTGGTTAGCCCTTGTTTTTCTGAAGAAGCTCTCTTGTGTTCTTCTGGAGTGCTTGCTACTATAGAAGCTTCAGTTAAACCTCTTGTTGTCTGGTTCTCTGTTTGTATTTTCGTTTCACTTAATTGTGGTGATACATCATCACGTATGATCTTTGTGATGACTCCCTGAGAGACCATCTTCGAGACCAGATCCTGGATGCCAGAATTCTCAGAGGTATCCTCTGGAGTCTCTCTTATCGTTGTTGATACCGTTTCTTCTGTTGTTGTGATTGTTGGTATTGTTACTGTTGTCCTTGTTACTTCTGTTGTTGTTGTTATTGTTGATATTGTCGACGTTGTTGTTGGTGCTTCTGTTGGTGTTGTGAGAGCTCTTGCAGAAGTTGTGCCTCCATTGTCTTCGAGGAAATGGGTGAGTTTTTGCTCTCTGTCTTCCACTCCATGCGCAGGACTAGTTAGATCTGATGCTGCTTCTTGCTCCAGTGTTTCTCTTGAGACTTCTGGTGTCTGGCGCGAAACAGTCGTTATATTGTCAAAATCATTCTTGTCTTCAGAAACTGTGATTGCTTGCTGTGCTGTGGATAACGTAGTGTCATTCCAGGTGGCACTCGCTGACACGGACAATACTTGAACGGGCTCTAAAGTTGTACTAAGCTGTGTGGCAGCGAGGAAATTTGAGATTGGGTCTTGGAAGGACAATGAGGAAGGACTAGTATCTTCAGACGAGCTGTACACCGGGGTAGTTGGTGGTAGTTCTACGCTGCTTATTGTCTGTATGATTGTTAGCAAGAGCTCGTCGAGAGGAATCTCTGTAGAGCCACTTTCTCCATCTGCAGCGTCGACGGAAATAATCGGGTTGGAGGTGACACCAAAATCAACAGGTGTCTGTAATGATGAGTCTGTCGGTCCACTGAACAATGGCTTGTCTGTCACTTCCTCCAAAATTGAAAACACTTCCTGAGTGGTAGTGATTTTTGACAGACCCCTGGCACTTAACATCGCAGCAATCCTCTCACGGATTTGCTGCACTTTCGACAAGGCTACTGTATCAGTGAATGTTTGTGTAACAGGGATGTTCTCTGCACTCCCTTGTGTAACAGGAGTATACTCAGTAACTGCAGGTGTAACTGGGGTATACTCAGTAACCGACGGTGTAACTGGGTTGAATTCAGTAAAATAATCAAAGTCACGCTCTTGAGTCTTTCTAAGGACTTTCCTTGTCCTGGTCACCGGTGTAGTGGATGTTGTTGATAATAATCTTTTACTCTTTGGTATAAATCTGTTTGTCTTTCTGAATTCATTGAATCTTTCTCTAAACGTGAGAGGTCTTTCTGTGGTAATCTGAACGCGTCTTGCTGGAGCTTTGGTAGTGAAGGGAGCGGGTGGTCTCTGTGGAGATGTCTTGTTGCTTTCCTGGCTACCCGTCTCATTGTGGTTGGTAAGTCCATGGGACGTGATAGCGCTACTATTACCTTCCTGGGTACCATTCACAGTAAGTACACTGGGAGTGACTGTGAGACTTTTACCTTCCTCTGTATCCTTCGTGATGGGGTTGGTGAATGGACTGGGAGCGAGTATGCGATCATTACCTTCTTGGGTACTCTTCGTAGCGGGTGCACGGGGACGATTTCTTAGTCTGTTGTGTAAGTTGTTGTTTGGCCTCCTCTGTCCAGGTTTTGTGCGAGTATTCAAGGTTCTCGTAGTAGATTCTTGTCTCAAACTTTTTAAATCATCAGTGTCTTGCTGAAGAGAAGGGTTGTCTGATTTCTCAGAGGAGGGTCGACGAGGTAGTGTGGTGGTGGAGGTTGATTTTAAGCGCCTTTCTCGCAGTTTTTGAAGTCGCTCCATGAAAGACTGTGTATGAGAATCAGGCTGAGGCCTACTCTTTCGTTGGAGATTTCCAGAGAGGGAAGCAGACAATGCTGGAGCCCTAGTTGCGGCAGACGAAATTAGTGCTGGAGGTGATGGTGGTAAGTTGCTTTGTCCTAGGTTTTCCTGGGGAAAATCATAATCTTCCTGGTCACTTCTAGCCTCTGCTTGCTGACTCGTAGGGATGGACTCCTGAATTTTCTTCACAAAAGCCCTTGGAATTGGTGTCTCTCGTACGGGCTTATTAGTGCGTGAAGAGCTACTTTCCCCTTTAGCCTGACGTGCCTTGAGAATTTCTGCCAAACTTAGTGATGGTCGTTCTTGGGGCGCACTTCTGGCATCAAGCGCTTCTCTGGCAACTGGCTTCTGTCTCTCTTGGTTAGTCCCTGGGCTGCTCCGGCCTGCTGTAAACATTTTGAGACGGGAAGCTAAGGATCCACGGGAGCCTACTGAAGGTGGTAGACCTGAGCGGCCATCGCTTCTCCCGACGAAAGTCGGAAGAGCTGCATCTTTCTTTCTGAATGTTCCGGGTGAGTTAGTTGTAGTAGATGGCGTAGCCGTAGTAGGAACAGTAGTTGTTGTTGTTGCCACTTCAGTTGTAGTAAGTGTTCGTAATTCTTCCATTCTTGAAGATGAAGCAAATGTATTGTTATCAACTTCCTGTTCTGTTATTGTTATGGAAGTTGGCGTTGTTGGAGTTGACGACTCTGTTGAAGTTTCAGAAGCCTCAGGAATGCTTGTAGTTGGTGGTGTTGCTGAGGTTGTAGAAATCGATGATTGAGAGGTTTCTGTGGCGAAGATAACTTGAGGGGACTCTGTGACAGATAGAGGAAGACTCGTGTCATCCTGGTCGGTGGTCTTTGGTAGTGGTCCGGACAATGATCTGTGACTCTCTGGGCTGAAGACGTCTCCACTGGCGCCATTCTTTCCTGCACTCGGAAGATTTTCTCCAGCAATAGGGGCTGAAGTAGGCTCGGAAGACGCTGAGGGAGGGTCAGGAAAGTTAAACCCATCCGTTGAGGAGGGTGAAGGTTTGGAGGTACTCGGAACACCCTCCTGTGGTACATTAATTGGAAGCGGAACACCCGAAGGGGGATCCTGTAATGGATGTGAAACATTAGGCTCTTGCTTTGTGTTATTTATGCTAATAAAGGAAGGATTTTCATTCGGCTGGAAGTTCTCATGGGAAGTGGAGCGTTGCTTCAACGGAGCATCATGGACGACTGGAGAGAACGTAGGGAAGCTGGGGAAGACAAAAGGCGCTGCAGTGCCTGTGATGGGCTGGAATACTGGCAGCTGCTGTGCTGGATCCAGGCCTCTCCCTCTCACCCACGACGTCGCTGCTGAAACATCAAAAGAAACATTTTACAAAAAAGTCATTGTATTTAAAAAAAAAAAAGAAACTACAAATACGAAACGAAAAATTATCTTGCGAATCACATGTGTATAATTACGTGTCATCAAGTATACTACTACGAAATGTATGCCATCATGTTTACCTCTGTAGAGTCTTCATATACGCCAATGATACTGTAAGCATCTTAAATGCTTACAGTGATGCTGTATATGACGCCGTTATCATTTCTTCAACAGGATTTATATCTTGCACAGACAGTATTGTCCGCTCACTGCTAAAAATTGCCATCCAGCCATCCATCTATCTTTCCTCCTTTCCCACTCTCTCTCTCTCTCCCTCTATCTCTCTCTCTCCATCTCTCTCTCTCTCTCTCTTTTAACAAGGTTTGACAAGGTTAAGGATCCCTAGCTTTATTGACAAGTTATTTACAGGTTAAGGGATTCCTAACTTTATTGGCAAGCTAAGAACTGTTACCTACATCAGCTCATTTGAAAGCATTTTTATTGTTATGAGACATACAAGTAGGGAACAGGATGAAGTTGGAGCCATCTGTGGGCCAGCATTTTCATTTGATCAACTGGCTTTATCTCGTTGACATCATTATGCTGTACGAATGTGTTCCATACTCGAGTCATCCTGGGTATATATGATCTCAAATGGAGTGATGTTCTGGAGAAGGGTACAGCCAGAGTGAAGTTGCTGCTTTCTGCCCGTCTTGTGGCATAAAAGCTTGTTTCACGCTGTCCTCGAAGTGGATGTAAGTGTGGTACTTTGATAATATTGGCCTTGTACATAACAGTAAGGCCACCCACATCCCTCCTATGTTGAAGGCTCTGCTGAAATGACAGATCTATCCAGGATGGGTCCATGCGAGAGATGAAACGTCTTGCTCTGTTCTCTACTCCGTCAAGCAGTCGCAGATGAGAGGGGGGAGGGCAGGCACTCTGATAGTTTAGATCAGAAATTCCCAAAATGGGCAGTGGAAAGATCCAGGGATGTATTGAGGAAAAAGTGGTGGGTAGAGAGGGGCGGCAGAGTGGTATCATAATCAAGGCAGCGTTTGTTTTAAAAAATCTATATAACAAATAAAACAACAAGCATGTCATCAGAAATACACAAAAACATATAAGATCAGCGACGTATGCAAAGTGAGCAATAGAGAATACTTCAGAACCTCAAATATGATATATGTTAGAACAATCATAGAGTATGCAGCCCCATCATGGAGCCCACACATGAAAAACTGGATAAAATCCCGAACTGAAAGAGATGCACTATGAGGAGAGATCACAGGAACTAAACGTGCTTACCCTGACTGAGAGATGGATAAGAGGAGACATGATTACGATATATAAAATCTTAAGTCGGATGGATAAGCCAGACAGGGATAGACTGTTGAAATTAAAAGAACCAGGATCGAGGGGCACTGGTAGAAGCTGAAAATACAGATGAGTCATAGGGATGTAAGGAAGTATTTCTCTAATTAATCTTAGGTGGTTGAAAAGAGGAATGTAGTCGATGAGGCAGTAGTGGAAGCAAACTCGATACACAAGTTCAAGAGCAGATATGTGAAGGTTCAAGATGCCAGAAATCAGTGATGCCCATCAAAGTAGTCAAGTAAGTGGGTCGAAGGGGCGGGGTATCGACCTCTGCAAGCAAAATAAGGTGAGTATAACTCGTTGAGTACACACACGCGCGCGCACACACACACACATACACACACACACACAAACAAACACACACAACACACACACACACACACACATCAAATCGGATGAGGATCAGGCAGGACTACAAAGAGACCTGGACAGGCTACAAGCCTGGTCCAGAAACTGGCTCCTTGAATTTAACCCTGCCAAATGCAAAGTCATGAAGATTGGGGAAGGGCAAAGAAGACCGCAGACACAATATAGTTTAGATGGCCAAAGACTGCAAACCTCACTCAAGGAAAAAGATCTGGGGGGTGAGTATAACACCGAGCATATCTCCTGAGGCGCACATAAATCAGATAACTGCTGCAGCATACGGGCGCCTGGCAAACCTACGGATAGCGTTCCGATACCTCAATAAGGAGTCGTTCAAGACACTGTATACCATTTACGTCAGGCCCATACTGGAGTATGCAGCACCAGTTTGGAATCCACACCTAGTCAAGCACGTCAAGAAATTAGAGAAAGTGCAAAGGTTTGCAACAAGACTAGTCCCAGAGCTACGGGGATTGTCGTACGAAGAAAGGTTGAGGGAAATCGGCCTGACGACACTGGAGGCCAGGAGGGTCAGGGGAGACATGATAACGACATATAAAATACTGCACAGAATAGACACGGTGGACAAAGACAGGATGTTCCAGAGATGGGACACATACACAAGAGGTCACAATTGGAAGTTGAAGACTCAGATGAATCAAAGGGATGTTAGGAAGTATTTCTTCAGTCATAGAGTAGTCAAGTCGTGGAATAGTCTAGAAAGTGAAGTAGTGGAGGCGGGAACCATACATAGTTTTAAGGCGAGGTATGATAAAGCTCATGGAGCAGGGAGAGAGAGGACCTAGTAGCAATCAGTGAAGAGGCGGGGCCAGGAGCTATGACTCGACCCCTGCAACCACAAATAGGTGAGTACACACACACACACACACACACACACACACACACACACACACACACACACACACACATCTTTCCAACGGGATACCAGATCCTGAGGAAAGACATAGGGAACAGGGGGGGGGGGGTGGAGGAGTGGCACTGCTGATCAAAAACCGATGGAATTTTGATGAGCTGGACAGAGGAGACAGCGGAGAAGCAAGTGATTACATGGGGGGAACGCTTCAGTCTGGAGGTCCCAAAGTGGTAATTGCAGTGATGTATAACCCACCACAGAACAGCAGGAGGCCAAGGCAGGAGTATGATGAGAGCAATAGAGCGATGGTTGACAAACTGGCTGCAGTGGCCAGAAGGGTTCATGTGTGCAGGGAAAAGCTACTGATCATGGGTGACTTTAACCACAAGGAAATCGATTGGGAGAACTTGGAGCCACATGGGGGCCGAGATACATGGAGGGCTAAGATGATGGAGGTGGTACTGTAAAACTTCATGTACCAACACGTAAGGGACACTTCAAGAGAGAGAGAGGAGAGGATGAACCAGCAAGACTGGACCTAGTATTCACCTTGAGTAGTGCAGATATTGAGGATATCACATGTGAAAGACCCCTTGGGGCCAGCGATCATGTGGTTTTAAGCTTCGAATACACAGTAGAGCTACAAGTGGAGGGAAAAGTAGGAAGGCCAGGGCAAATGAAGCCAAACTACAAGAAAGGGGACTACACGGGAATGAGGAACTTCCTGAACAGGGTTCAGTGGGACAGAGAACTGGCAGGGAAGCCAGTTAATGAGATGATGGAATATGTAACAACAATATGCATGGAAGCTGAGGAGAGGTTTATACCCAAGGGTAACAGGAATAATGAAAAAGCCAGGATGAGCCCATGGTTCACCCAAAGGTGCAGGGAGGCAAAAACCAAGTGTGCTAGGGAATGGAAGGAGTATAGAAGGCAAAGGACCCAGGAAAATAAGGAGAGCAGTCGTAAAACCAGAAATGAATATGCACAGATAAGAAGGGAGGCCCAACGACAATATGAAAACGACATAGCAGCGAAAGCCAAATATGACCCGAAGCTGTTATACAGCCACATCAGGAGGAACACAACAGTCAAGGACCAGGTAATCAGGCTAAGGAAGGAAGGAGGAGAGACAACAAGAAATGACCGTGTAGTATGTGAGGAACTCAACAAGAGATTCAAAGAAGTGTTCACAGAGGAGACAGAAGGGGCTCCAGAAAGACGGAGAGGTGGGGCACACCACCATGTGCTGGACACAGTGCACACAACCGAGGAAGAAATGAAGAGGCTTCTTAGTGAGCTAGATACCTCAAAGGCAATGGGGCCGGATAACATCTCCCCATGGGTCCTGAGAGAGGGAGCACAGGTGCTATGTGTACCCCTAACAACAATATTCAATACATCTATCGAAACAGGGAGATTGCCTAAGGCATGGAAGACAGCAAATGTAGCCCCAATTTTTAAAAAATGGAGACAGACATGAAGCACTAAACTACAGACCAGTGTCACTGACATGTATAGTATGCAAAGTCATGGAGAAGATTATCAGGAGAAGAGCGGTGGAACACCTAGAAAGGAATGATCTCATCAACAGCAGCCAACATGGTTTCAGGGACGGGAAATCCTGTGTTGCAAACCTACTGGAGTTTTATGACAGGTGACAGCAGTAAGACAAGAGAGAGAGGGGTGGGTAGATTGCATTTTCTTGAACTGTAAGAAAGCATTTGACACAGTTCCACACCAGAGATTAGTGCAAAAACTGGAGGACCAGGCAGGGATAACAGGGAAGGCACTACAATGGATCAGGAAATACTTGTCAGGAAGACAGCAGCGAGTCATGGTACGTAGCGAGGTGTCAGAGTGGGCACCTGTGACAAGTGGGGTCTCACAGGGGTCAGTCCTAGGACCGTGCTGTTTGTGGTATTTGTGAACATGTCGGAAGGAATAGACTCCGAAGTGTCCCTGTTTGCAGATTACGTGAAGTTGAGAAGAATTCATTCGGTCGAAAACCAGGCAGAACTACACAGGGATCTGGACAGGCTGCAGACTTGGTCCAGCAATTGGCTCCTGGAGCTCAACCCCACCAAGTGCAAAGTCATGAAGATTGGGGAAGGGCAAAGAAGACCGCAGATGGAGTACAGTCTAGGGGGCCAGAGATTACAAACCTCACTCAAGGAAAAAGATCTTGGGGGTGAGTATAACACCTGGCACATCTGAAGCGCACATCAACCAAATAACTGCTGCAGCATATGGGCGCCTAGCAAACCTCAGAACAGCATTCCGACAACTTAATAAGGAATCGTTCAGGACCCTGTACATCGTGTACGTTAGGCCCATATTGGAGTATGCGGCACCAGTTTGGAACCC